GAACTGCCTGTACTATGTTCACTGACAAATGATTGTTATTTAAATAATAATCCATAGCCTATTCAATACTAAGCTTTCAATGGTCGCATCTTACTTCCCTGATGCACAAAACATATGCTATGTAATAAAGGTGGTAATAAACACAACAAATATTTCATAAAATTCTTTGTTGCTTTTCTTGCTCCATACTGAAATTGTCACTTGAATGTGTGAAACAATTCTTTCAGCTGAATTGTAACTGCAGGAGTTGCCTGATTTAAATAGGCTGAATTGTGCAACTGTTAAAGCCTGAAAGCTATAGTTGGCTTTGACTGACATGCTGCAAATTACATTCCAAAGAAGTCTGCTGGGGCATGCCAAAAAATAAAATTGATATAATTTAGAATTAAACATTGGTAAATGTAAATACCATTGTTACAATTATTTTCTACATTATTTAATAATTTTTGCTTCAATCACATTCAACTATATTGGAAAATTTTTTGAAAAAGGTCCGGGAACAGTTTTTAAGTCTTTGAAAACTAAAGAATATGCATGCCCTTTCTAAAAGAGTGCAGGTTTTCCTTTTTATTGCAAGGCATGAAATGTTGGGAAAAATGTGAAGTAAGCTTAATGCATATGTGAAAACAGTCCAAACTGTGCTTCTTTTCCAAATGGCTTCTACAGTAGTCTGAAATATGTTACAGCAATTGTGTTTTTGGCTGGAGGCAGGGGACCAATAGAAAGGTCAAGGACTGGTATAGATTTTTTTAGGCCACAGAAAATATTTAATGGTGTAAAAATGGCAGCGATTCCTTTTTCCTAATAAGGCTATGTGGTTACAGGCTATTTACTATACCTTTATTTAGAAGTATCCCTGCTGGGAGCTATCCATGCACATTTGTTCACTGCCAATTATGCTGCCAGAGGCACCTTGATGGACCTTATGACTATATACTCAAGGTGACTTTGACCACAAGATATTTATCTGCCAGGTTAATAAAATATAAAATGAAGAAAAGAGGGAGATAAATAAATACCCTACTGCAAGTCAGTTTACTGACCCCCTGTCATTTGGTGGTATACATTATCTGTTAATCTAAGCCACTGCATAATAGCATTGGTATTTTTTCAAAACAGGTCTTTTTATGGGGATTTGGAAAGGAGCATATATAGCCTTTCAACTGGAGGGCTACTAACTTGGAAGCCAACATTAATTCATCAGTCAGATGGCTGATACCAGATGATTCCCTCCCACCCATAACAGGACCGATATTTCACAATCTTTTGGGTGAGTTGGTGCAGATAACTGCAAACACGGAATTCTAATTTCCAAGGCTTTCCTAAGATAGTGAGAGAATGTTTATTGAAACATCCCATCCCATCATTGTTCCTGCATCCAATGGCAATGATACCAATAGACAATAAGCTGCAATGAGCATGGAAACTGAAAATATGAGTACTACTGTATATTCTTGGATTAATAGTTTAACTAAGCAAGATTTTACTGTCTTGAGCAATTTGTAGCAACTAATCTAATCATTTCCAATACTGATCCATATTACAAGGATCCTTCTCCATAAAGCATATTGTCTCTGGACAATAATTCCATCCCCCAAAGCTCTACTAATTCATATCAAATGTTTAAAGTCCATCAATGCAGTCAAGAAGCTGCATGTACAGCTCCCTCATATGAACATGTTATATTTTCCTCAAATCAGCCAAATATCTGGGGAAACTTCTTTCCCCCAGCAAATCTGACACAAAATTTCAATGGACATGATTTCCAAACCTTAAAGAAGAAGCAAATTTGCACGACAAGTCTGAGCACCACTGAGAAGGAAGAACTATTCATACCCATGCCGATACTGTAAACTACAGAAATTCTGTCACTGCTTTTATCAAAATCAAGATTACATTTATTGTTCAGAACCTAGTTTTTAGCTCTTGTTTAGCTGTACATATTCAAGAAGCATCACTGTGGGACAACAACAAAAGACAAGATAGTTAAAATGTATTGATATTAATTTTAAGGAGTTACTTGGTTATATTCATATCATGGTTATAGTCATATCAATGCCTCTCCCTATTCTGTTCTTTCCCCATTCATTCACCCCAAAGATAGGTGATCTATGATTTTACAGGACCTATTTTATTATTTTATTTGTGTTCAAGGATCTAATAGCTGAAACCACTAATATGAAAGGCATTGTCTTTATTCACATTATACATTGAATTACACTACCCAATCTCACAGTGTTCTAGCATGTTGTGCAAATTGTGTGCTTAGTTTAGGATTCAGTATGTTTTGCACATCTAAAATTGGGGTTAAGTAAACCAGAATTAAGCTAGCCATGGATAAAACAATTACAGAAACAAAATATACACAGGGAACTAAAGCATTCCAAGGTTGGCAAACCTCTGTTATGTTCATGCCAAACTGAACAGTATTCACTATCTTTCCACGCAAAACCTCCAATCCCAGTAATCCCAATTTTTCTTTATATTTTTATATTTCACCATATAAATTTGGATTCGGGAGCTGAAAGTGTGATGGAGGACTCATAATACTAGGCTGTTAATTAAATAATTTTAAGTTACAAATAATTCAGCAGTAGAACACCCTTCTGTTTAGCCTATTCTTCCCAAAAACATGCTTATCAAGTTCTATCTATCTCTGGGTAAATTTATTCCCATATCTGTTTTCTTTTTCTTGGCTTTGTGAGACTTTTTTGCTGACTATTTGCCAGGGCTGTACTTCTGGCTGCAGATTTTGTGAGATAAATGTCAAGCAAGGAACCTATATTGCCAACTCTGCAGTCAGTCTTGCAGGCCAGATTGTGACTGAGTTAGTGAAAGGAAAACTCTTGGCCTAATGGAGCAATATACTTTTTTTGTTATTATAATAAATGCAGCCAAGCTTAAAATCAGGAGCCATGTATTTGCAGCTGCAGCAGCAATAACAACAATAAGCAGGAGGAGGTGGATGTATTGTTCTTGGACCCAGCTTTGGAGATGTGATTTTCTTGTTTTCTTTTTGTATATGTATTCACCTAATATCTGTCTTCTTTTACTTGAAGACTTAGTAGGCAAATAATAGCTTCTTATGATCACAGTTATATTCTGCTAAACAAAGTAAGTGAAAATAATTTGTTGCAGTGTGGATTGATCCTGTTCGGATTTTAATTCATCAGCTCTATTGTCTTTTAGAATGCTTTCAATAATGCCATCAAAGGAAGATACTAAAGCAGATGTCCAAAATCCTACTTCATGCAGGAGGGCTCCCTATCTGTCAAATCTAGACTCCAATATTCTCTAACAGCACTATTGCAATTTTTTCATTCTATTCCCTTAGCCCACAGCAACGCTGGCTGTGGAATTCTGGGAGTTGAAGTCCTCATGCCTTAAAATTGTCAAGTTTGGGAAACACTGCCTTAGCCCTTCTCCATTTTCTGTATTCCCTGTATACACTGCCCCATCTTAGTCCCATCAATCAATCAATCAATCAATCAATCAATCAATGTTCTCATAATTGTTTGAAACCTCTTTGTACTGCATATAGTAAATGATGCTGATTTAATTATTGTGGTAGAATGTGCACCTGGAGAAGCAATGGAAGGAATCTTCACAATACATAATTGCCCAGGGACAAGGAAGACTAATCCATCAGAGAGTAGCCCAAATGAAGGAACTGTATTGAACTGGGGGGGGGGGAGAGGTTCAAATTATCATACCCTAGAATTTCTCAGGATGCATCTATTAGATTAAATGTTACAAATTTAGTTTGGCAATATTTTGTTCATTAGGTGTAAGCAAATAAAGGATTGGACTTAATTGGATTTCATTTGTAGCCTTTGAATTTCAGCCTGATAGTTACATAAAAATACGCATCAAAAGGATGAATTCACTGTGAATATACAGCAGACATAGGCAACTTGTGATAAAAAATATGCGATCCATCAAGTGGGTAAGACTGAAAATTTCATTCTGGAGATCTTGGGGAGGCTTAAGTAGAAGAGGTTGGTGCATTAGCCTAGCAGAGGCTTAAGCCAACTATTGCTTATCTTAAAGAAAACAAGAGACTCCCATGGAGAGGTTTTAAGGGATATTTTCCTTAAATTTCAACTCAACATAAATTGCAAGTTAAACCTGAAATTTCCATTACTTCAGTGATATCATGTTTTCACTGGCCTTAGTTCCTACAGCCCTAGGTCATCAAGGATAGCCTCAAGCCAAAAACTTTGTTTATAAGTTATGCTTCAAATGTAAAGAAACCTTACTGAATATAATCCTGCTATCTTAAAAGAAAAGAAATAACCAGAATTTGATTTGGTGTTCTGGAAGCTATTGTCAATCCATCACATGTGGACATAATTAAGGTATTAAAAGTTTTTTGACTTTGGAGAAAAATAGCATTTTAACTCTATATTTACAAGCCAATAGTGATATTTAACATATACTATCTTCTTCAGTGGCTCATTCCCATCAACGTTAAGCTGTAAACACAGCATGCAGTAGTCCTCAAGGGCAGATCCTAGAGGAGAAGTATATTGATTGTTTACATATTTATGGTTTTCTTCCTTAAGAATGATACAGTAGTTCATGTTTAAAGTAATAGGGATAACATGAAAGGGAGAAAAATTAATAAAAAAGGATTTAACACTGCAGGCTATTTGTGTGTGCATAGCACTTTCACTGAGAAACATGCATGTTTCTGTCTGCTAGTAAAAAAGGGAGTTAGGCCTTATTCGGGACATGCCTGGGCATGTCATACCCCCCGTGATTCTGGGCATGCACAATGCTCAAGGGCGTGTCATTGCAAGGGCAGGGGAGTTTGTGCGGGCAAGCCTGAACAGCTAGCGATTTAATTCCAGCAGTCTTTTGAAGATGGCAACCTCTGATTCCAAAACTATTTTTAAAACAATAGTAATAATAATATAATAATGTAATAGCCCCCCCTTTTAGTTTCTAAAAAATAATACTAATGGTTTTGTAGTTGGATAAAATGCTAGATATTATACCTCCTAACAGCATTCGTGTTGTGTGGCTTGTGGAAGGCTGAGGGCTCATGTCATGCTGGGCCCCTTGGTGCTCTGTGGGGATTGTGAAATCCGCGAATGGCTGATCGTCCTCCCATTCTGAAGGAAAAGAAAAATCCCAATGGTCAGAATTATTGCAGAAATGTTTATAAGAATCTAAATGTATGAAAGTATGAAAGACAAATACCTTCATATACCCTCAAACATTCTGAGTCTGTCAATTGGTGCTCTGTGGGAACTGTGAGATCCGCAAATGGCTGATCGTCCTCCCATTCTGAAGGAAAAGAAAAATCCCAATGATCAGAATTGTTGCAGAAATGTTTATAAGAATCTAAATGTATGAAAGTATGAAAGACAAATACCTTCATATACCCTCAAACATTCTGAGTCTGTCAATTCATTCTAGTGAAAAAAACAATCAATCAAACAAACAAGCAGGCAAGCAGACAAGAATGTTATAAAACTCCATTTTGCATGTAAGTGTTTCAAAAATTAGGCATAAAACTACTTACAATAATAGCTTCCATTCTGAAAAGGGTCTTCTTAGCAGATCAAATGGCTCCGGAGGTATGGATATGCCAGAAATCATCAAACATGACTGGATCAGTATGGCCCCTACTTTTATACATGCTGGTGATGTCACAAATTAATCACATCAGATGAGGGGAGTTCTTCACACCTTTTGCAAAACTGATCACCCTTAACTACCCAGGAAGCCGCATTTGAATAGTAGGTGATGTCACAAATTAATCACATCAGGTTGGTGAGTTCTTCACACCTTTTTGCAAAACTGGCCAGCCCCCACCTCATCAGGAAAAACCCGATTTGAATAATATCACACTAGCTTTGATTAAATTGTGTTTAACATCTGACAAAGTTAAACAGGGGTCAGCAAAAGAAAAAAACATAATACATCTTTCATGTGATTTGTAAAGCACATTTTATTATAAATTTCATAGCGTTAACAGTTTCTTTCTGTTACATTCTGGTATATGAACTTCTTCAGAGGCAATGGCAATTCAACTTCAATCTTTGACATTATTGACAGTGGTTTACTGTTCTCCTCAATATGCTGTATGAATGTCTTGAACTCACCAAGTGAATCCTGGGAGAAATATAAGTTATTCATTTTGTCAGAAATTCTGATGATGATCCAGAGAACATGAGGCGTAGAAAGTCTAAAGCATAAGCTGTTAATAAGCTCTGTTTCACTGATAGTATCCACTTGATCTTCATCTGATTGTAGATATCCCATTAAACAATGGTGTAATATTTTAATAATACACGCTTTCAGAATCTGAGGCATGCTGGCATTTTGAGACTCCACCATTTCTAAAGCAGGAAATAAGAATCTGAGGCATGCTGCCATTTTGAGACTCCACCATTTCTAAAGCAGGAAATAAGGTAGATTTAGGCTAGCTCAGGGGTAGGCAACCCAAAACACTTAAAGAGCCACTTGGACCCGTTTCCCACCAAAAACAAAACACTGGGAGCCGCAAAACCCTTTTGATATCTAAAATGAAGATAACACTGCATATATCCTTTACCAGAATCTGAGGCATGCTGGCATTTTGAGACTCCACCATTTCTAAAGCAGGAAATAAGAATCTGAGGCATGCTGCCATTTTGAGACTCCACCATTTCTAAAGCAGGAAATAAGGTAGATTTAGGCTAGCTGTTTCAACTAATCAAAATACTGTTTTCTTAATTTTTTAATATTTACTTACCACTTGATGTTTTGCAGAATCTGCAATAACAAGGCTTTATAAGTTTGTTTTCTTCAATGAAACCATACAGATCAGGTTCTTTTCTTATTCTACGCCCACGCTTGAGAGGTTTGGGGGTCAAATTTACATCAAACAAATATCCATCAATATTTGCCATCTTCAAAAAACTCCTGAAATTAAATTGCTAGCTGTTCAGGCTTACCTGCACAAAACTCCCCTGCCCCTTGCAATGACATGCCCTTGAGTATTGTGCATGCCCAGAATCATGGGGAGTATGATATGCCCAGGCCTAACCCCCTTTTTTACTAGCAGACAGAAACATGCATGCCCGGAATCGCGGTCCTGACATGCCTGAACAAGGCTTAACCCCTACTTGCTGCCTGGCTGCTTGCCTCTTGTGAGCATTTTAATTCCTGTTAATATTCCTTCTCGTTTGCTGTAGGGGGCAGAATAAATTTTATTAAGGCCGTGCTTCGAACGGTTACGTGTACATGAGGATTTCACAGGGTGCAATTGGCAAAATATTTGTCTTTAGATTTTTACAAGGTTTTAAAAGGGCTGTGTTTTTTTTTTCCTGCATTTGAGGAAATGATTTTAAAACCGCCTAGAAATAAATACCTTTTAGAAAAAAGGGGGTTAAATGCAGCCCCTGGCTGCCTTTTAGGGGCTCCTTTTTTCCCAACGTTTGAGGCACTGATTTTTAAAACTCCACAAAAATTAAAAGCATCATTAGGCTAGAATGATTAGAAATAAAAAGCATTTTTTTCACAGCTCCCCAAAATTGACAGGCCTCTGTTAATTATTCACTTTATTTAACTTTTCTGGGTTTTGAATGTCCATAGAATTAGTCTAGGGTTAAGCCAATCACATACCCAGGGGATTGACTGCCACATCTTTCTTGATGAGGTTAGGTTCAACACATCTTATCTGAAAATAGGGCTGTTAGGGCTACCGTATATGCCGGTGTATTAGGCGACCCGGCGTATAAGACGACCCCCGTCTTTATAGCCGGGCCGCATTCCTAGAACGTCATCTTATATGCCGGAAACTACCAGTATTTCCGGCGTATAAGACGACTCGGCGTATAAGACGACCCCCGTCTTTGGCGCCGATTTCAGCGCTCGCGGAAGTCGTCTTATACGCCGGCATTTATGGTACTCATGCTTATCTTGATGGGCTTAGGCCAACATGTCACTTCTGCTTAGGGACATGACCTGGTGATGTAATCATCACGTTTGTTTGTTTACTTTGATGGCGTCACTGATCAAAAGTGCTGATAATTTTCATTAAAAAAGGTATACACTATATCTACTAATATGTGATCAAAATTCAGGTATTTGGCAACCAGCATGTATTTAAGATGGTCACAGCATCCTGAATTCATGTGATCATCATTTGAGACCTTCCCAGCTATTGATAAAAATCAAAGCAAGAATCTGTATAGTTTCTTTAAACCTTTGGCTAAAGCTTAATTTCTTTCCACAAGGCCTTGCTCCATTAATCCTCCAAGACAAATTCTCCTCTTCATGGATCAAGGCTGTTGAGTCCAAAATTGCCAAACTAGGTTTTCTCCAGCCTCAATACTCAATTTGGACTATGACCAAGCAAAACAAACCTTGCAAAAAAGGGTAGAGGACAAGATTTAGGGAAAGTTCCATTTTTTTTGGCTCCAGATTGTATTAGATATATTGTTACTCCTGCCAGCTATCTTAGCCAGTTGGGGACGGCAAACCACCAGAAAGCATTTTCACTTGCATGGTACCATGCGCTTCCATCAGCCATCCTGCAGAGCAAGTATAAAAATATACCATTGACTGAAAGACTCTGTTCCTATGGCTCAGGAGAGGTGAAGACCATTGGACAAATACTCCTTCAATATTCTTTTTATAGAGATATATATAAAAAACATATCCTCCCAATAACTGATAAGTATCCTGGCTGTTCTGACACTGCCTATCTCCAGTCCCTGCTTAAGGATGAACAGACTGTGATTAGAGTGTGGGTGGCTAGATTCTGCTCAGCAGCACTGGGGATTCGTCAGAAACACATGATTAATCCACAATAGCTATATTACACAACTAATGCAACAAACCCTTTTGCATTAGTACTCTTTTGCATTTTAGTTTTCATGACTATGAGCCTCACAGTTTAAGGATTGATATTATAGTAGAGTTACGCCATTCTGTGTTTTGCTGATGTGTAATTGACAGATTGAATGCCAAATGGTGATTTTAATATAGATTTTATCTGTTATTTATTATTTTATTCTAGAATTTTTAATTGGATATTCCTTGGGTGTTTTTAACTTGTTCTGTCTCTAGTCTTTGATTGGAATTTACTTGACTTGACCTTCCCAGCCAACATTTGTCAAGCAAAATCAATGTGGGAACGAGGATTCACTTAATGACTACAAGAATCACTTAGCATCTGCAATGATTTGCTTAACAACCATAGCAAAAAAGATTATAAAATTGGGTATAATTCACTTAACAACTTCCTTGTTTATCAATAGAACTTCTGGTCCCAATTGTGATCATAGGTTAAGGACTACTTGTATTTAAATAAAACTAATTATATTTACATTTACATTTACACCTACATCTACAAATTACCACATGCAGGCACACAAAAATTGCAACCAGACAAGTTAATTTTATTTAAATCTGTGTTCTTTTAGCCCTCTTTTTTGGGGAAGATGGATATTCTTGCAAAAAACTATTCAAGCTGTTTCATTAAATATCATAAGAAGCAAAAGAGAAAGATGTCTGCATTTATATTTTGCTTCATTTTCTTCATAACTTCAGTTTTAATAAGATTCCAACTTTTCACTCTCCAAAATTATACACTTCAATCTTGGTGCATAGAATGACAGAATGCTAGTGTCTTGTCTAGGACTCAGCACTCTGAAGTGCTCTTAACCTTTCAACAGGTCAGATTGAAAGTTAATTGAAAAATGCTATAAATTTTGGATGGATGCAATTGCTTAATGCTAGTGAACATATTCTAAGCAATGAAGGTTTCCTCTGTAAATACAAAAGGATTAAATAGACTGTTTTGTCTCAACGTTAGAAAGCACAAGGATTCTAAATAGTTTTTATATAAAAATTTTAAGTATGAAGCAAAATTTATTTATGAACCAGAAATAAATTTTCTTGACATGCATGAAGAATTGGTTGCAAGGCTGTGTTTCATTTTGTTAGATCATAATATTTCCCAGGTGGTGAGCTGTGTTGAACTGGAAAATGTGATAAATATTGAGTCTTAACTGAAACAGATTCTGAGCTTGCATCTGGGTGCAATACCTTGCCTGCCATTTTCATCCATTTTTCACATTAGTGACCATACTAGTCCCCAACACTTATACTGTACATAGCTTACTATTATATCGAAACTAAAACTTTTGTAGATGCTTCTAAGCAAAGATGAATGTATAATAGCAGATCTTGGTTTAAAACAGCCTTCTAATTCTAGCTTGCTTGAAAGTTAATTACAGTTTTTGAGTTGCATATTATGGTAGGCTATGCTGAATTGCAGCTTTCCACTTTGT